GAGTTATGAATCACAATCATTGAAAATGGAAAAATAGTCCAAGAATGAAGGCAACATAAGTTTAATGTAATCTAGCCAGAACATTATCCTAAATTGAGTACTCACGAGGAGAAAAGAAGTTCTTGAGCAATGTTAAGAGCATGTTGTTAGAGTTCTTATTTTTGTATTAGTCATATTTAATGAGTGTAGGGTAATATTGTAATTATCTTAATTGTTTCTCTATTATAAATAAGAAGTATAGGGCAACACTACTAGATTAACACGGAAAGACCTAAATGGCCTTAGAGAATCAAGTGGTAATCATCTTTGTGAGAAATGGGATGAGAGTTCGTTTTTGGGAAGATATTTGGGTTGGGGAGTCCTTTTTCTGTAGTATGTTTCCTTGCCTTTATCAACTATCTTGCTCTAGTGGTAATTCGATTACTTCTCTTGTTGGTTTTATGCTTACCCCACCTCTTGGGGGGTTTAGATTTTTGTAGAAGTCTTAATGATAGAGAATGTTTGGAGTTATTGGTGCTCCTCTCTATGCTTAATAATGTGTCCTTGAGCTATGATTGACTAGATAAAAGATGTTGGACTATTGATCCAACAAGTGTGTTCTCATGTGAATCATTCTTTGAGTCTTTAATTGATGTTTCCACACTTCCTTTATTTCTTCCATCATTGAATATTTGGAAAGCAAATGTTGCTTTAAAGGTGCAAATTTGTGCATGGTTGATTGCAATGGTGTATTATGTGTAGAGATGGCAATGAGAGCATCGATCATCTATTTTTGCATCATCTTATGGCACTCTCACTTTGGAACAAGTTGTTTAATTTAATGGGATTTTGTTGGGTGGAACCAAAATCCATGTCATCAATGATTTGTTTGGATGTTATGGGTCGAGGAGGAAACAAGAAGATGAAGATCCTTTGCCGTTGTGCTTTTTTTGCTACTGTTTAGGTCATTTGGTTGGGACGGATGCAAGGATCTTTGAAGGATTATGGGAACGGTTGTATTTCTTGGCTTCTTTTTGGACGGCCTCGGTGACTAAGGATTTTGTGAATATTCCTCATTTTTGTATTACTATGAGCTGGACAGCTTCATGTAGTGAGTAGTATGGTTGTTTTTCTTTCTTTTGCTTGTGTGTAGTGGTATTTTCCTTTAATTGGGTTGGATGACTTATCCACCTTTGATGGGGGCTGTAATTTCTCTTATCTTTTTGGTTGTTAATAAAGTTCACTGTTTCTTTTTGAAAAAAAATAATATCTTGGTGAAATCTTTGTGTATACGTTAAGGCTCTCTGGTAAAAAAGGGCATCAATTGGATAATTATGGTTGTTTAGAAAAATCTGATAATACTAATCAACACTCAATTACATAAGCAATGGATGCACATGTAGTAGAGTACATAGGATAATCATTGTTTAGGACGATGTTTACAGCTACTCTATTTTATTTCTTTGACATTCCTTTCCACGGGTGTAGCACTTTAAGTTGACAGACAACAATTATTTTATGTAAACAAGGTTTTCTTTTGTTAGGTGATGATAACAGGTGATCAAGCTTTGACGGCTTGCCATGTTGCTGGTCAAGTTCATATTGTTTCAAAACCTGTGCTGATTCTTAGCCCGGCAAAGAATAGAGAAGGATACGAGTGGGTTTCACCAGATGAGACTCAGATTATTAGCTATAGGTAAATATTTTTAGTTTCCAGTTCTGATAATTTTCCAATTATGTTAAATTTGCTCTTATAGCAATTTGTGATTTTTTTTTTAATCGCTGGCTCTTATTGTGCCATGTTGTACATGTCCATTTAAAGTTTTTTGGTACAAGCTTATTCTGTCCTGTTTTTATAACGTCCTCTTCTTATTACCCACTGGATTACTACATTGACATTGCTTCATTGCTGACTGAACCTAGAAGTAGAAATATATGGTTCTTGTAATTAATTATCTGTATCAGGCATCACTTATTTCAACGTTATTTACAGTGACAAAGATGTTGAGGCTTTAGCAGAAGCTCATGATCTCTGTGTAGGAGGTGACTGCATTGCTATGTTGCAGCAGACTTCAGCTGTTCTTAAAGTCATTCCATATGTGAAGGTTGTAATTGATTTATGTGTTTGAAACTGATCTTTAATGATGACAATATCATGACAATGCATATTCCAAGTGCCAGGTTTTCGCAAGGGTTGCTCCTGAACAAAAAGAGCTCATCATGACCACTTTTAAGGCAGTAGGTAGGATGACACTTATGTGCGGTGATGGAACTAATGATGTTGGAGCTTTGAAGCAGGTAGCCCATTGCATACTTATATTTCCGTCTCTTAGCTTTTTTAAGTTTGATGGGTGTTCATCAATTTTCTTACCACATTCCCACACCCATCCCCATTGATTATACTTCAAAAAATCTGTATGCTTATCGTATTTAATATTGTTATTTGTTTAATCAAAGGACCTAGTCTAATATTTCATTCCTTTTAAGGATGCGTTTGGTAATATTGTCAGTTTTCTGTTTCAAAAAAAAAAATGAAAAACAGAAACAGTTTTTGTTTTTGCTATGGTAAAAGTTAAAACAAAAAACTTGTTTGGTTACAGTTTGTGTTAGAAAATATAAAAATTAAAGCAGAATGTCCCAGTTCAATTTGGGTCATATTTAGTAGCTTTATATTAGTTCTCTAATAAAAAAATAAAGGATAATTACAAAATGTCTCAGTTTGGATCATGTTGCAATCAACTCCCTCAGGTTTTAATTTCAACAGTTTTCCCTTCACTAGAGAAGGAATGGATTGGGTTTTCACCGGAGGAGTTTTGTGGGCACTTGCCGAACTTCAGTGAGGAGCTGAATTTTTTGGTCTATTTTTTTGGTTAAACAAAAAATGAGATGGGGGTAATTTTGTATTTTTGATTGAATTTCCAATCACGTGACAATTTTTTGTCAAATTTCCGTCATTTTTAATGGTGGGTAACTAACGATCGGAGTTAATTGAAGAATATTAATATTTTGCAATGAAAAATTGTTGAAATTGAAATTTAAAGGTGTTGATTGTAACATAACCCAAATTTGCAGGGGTTTTTTGTAATTAATCCAACAAACAAATCAAAATTCATTGCCCAAGATTCATTCATCAACTCATCAAATAAGGCACTAAACAAAACACTACAATCACATAAGTCATTAAATTTGTTAATATATCTCATTGTTCAACATAGTACCAAATACATACCAAAGTCATTATCACTTAACTAAATCCCCAACAATTAGAACAAACTTATGATGNTAAAATTTGTTAATATATCTCATTGTTCAACATAGTACCAAAGTCATTATCACTTAACTAAATCCCCAACAATTAGAACAAACTTATGATGGACAAATACTCTCAAGTAGGTAATGAATCTGTGTCGGACACCGGTACTCTTCAAACACTTTCCAAAACATGTCTGATATTTTTTTATCCGTGTCAATAGTTAAATGATACAATTTTGATTTTGGACACTTGTCTGACACTTATTTAAGACATGTGATGCAATCAATAAGATGCTCAAGAAAACGCAAATTCGAAGTTATGAAAAATAATGGAATTGGCTTTCCATCAGCACAAACATCTATATGGAATTTTACATTATTGTGAACAATAATTTTGGCTAGGAATCACTCATAGGGTTCCGTAAGCATCACACCTAGGGTTAAGAATTACATCATACAACTCAAGAAACATGTAACTCAATAATTGTATCTCTCTCTATCTCTTTTTAAAAGTAACATTGACTATATATAGAGTTCTAAGTACTCTCAATCGCGAAAGATTAGGATTCTAAAGTCTCTAAGACTCCAAAAACTCTAGGTCTGTACAAATTAGAAAACTAAAATTAATTAGAACTAGGACTTTTAAATTCTAAAATATGTAACACTAGAATTTGACCCAAAAATATGACTTGTTCCAGAAATTTTAGAAATTACAAAAAATACCCCTAACACTAAAAAATAATAAAAGGACATAAAATACTAGCAAATTGACTTAAAATACGAATCAAAATACAATAATACAAGGTTCCATATAGATCTTTGTCTTGATGGAAAGCCAATAACATTATCTTTCACATCTTCGAATTTGTGTTTTCTTGAACATCTTATGGATTGTATCAGTATGATTATTACTATATTTGCAATAAACTACATATAGAAAACAAAATTATGTATAGCATGTCCCTAACGTATCCGTATCCTATTTTTTTGAGAATTGTCGTGTCTGCATGTCCGTGTTGTAACCATGTCCGTACTTCTTAGGTACAAACCAACCATAGAAAGATTGACCATAGTCAGGTGCTCTAATGGTTGTATACAATTTATTGATATAACTAGATGTGTTATCTATTGAGCTGCAAAATTCAGGTACAGAAATATGCCAAACAGTTGGAAAGAAAACACCAATAAAGCGTTATATTCAAGCATATGAGGCCTGCCATCAACAAGGATGCTGTCTTACAACAGGGCTAGCTGTTAAGAATTCTATCAGACGTGCACACACCTTCATCCACACACACACCCTTCATCCCCAAACAGAGACACACACCCCTTCATCCACACACACTCACAAAGAAACACAGATGGACTCAACAACAAACAAAAGCAAAAAGAGGTCAAGAAGAAACCTAGATTTGCTTATCAAACCCAAAATCTGTAATTATAGGTGAAGAAGGAACCTTTATGATGCTAGGGTGAGACGTTGGAGCAGTTGGTTGTCGACCGAAAGTGTCATTGGAGCCCAGTTGGTTAATAGATATTTTGAAGAAAAAGGGTTTCAGTCAATTCGGGGGAGGTGTGAAAATTGGGGGGTTTTAGGCTTTATACAATAGGGGTAGATTTTGTTGCCAACGAGATTTGATGGCTGGATCTCATTAATGGAGCTGTGTGTTTTCATTTTTGGCTGTTTTCAGAAACCTGGGCATGTTTGGTTTGGTTTTCAAAAACAGTTTTTTGTTCTCAAAACTCTAAAAACAAGGAAGATGCTATTTGTTTAGCTTTTTTATTCTCCAATTTTTTGAAAATTTTGGGAAATGAGATGTGTGATTTTAGAGAACAACAAAATTATGTTTTATGAGTTGTCAGGCTAAAATAGAAAACAAGGGAAATAACTCCTCTTTAATGAGGTCCACCCATCAAACTTCCTTAGTAACAAAATACATTTTTTTTCTTTCAAGTATAAAAGCCCCTCACTTAGGGTCTGTTTTCTCTCTCTCTCTCTCTCTCTGTATGCAGCTCCTCTTTAACGAAGACAAAGACAGGGCCTTTTTTCTGGATCTAGATTCAGTGTTTCGTTGTGGGTTTTGGTAGTGGTTGTGAGTCTTGATGCACAGGTTTTCAGTAGTTGTGGGTTTCCCATTTGGTTTTGTGCTTTGTGAGTCTTGATGCACCGTGAAAGAGAGAGAGACAGAGAGTTGAAGCGAGAGGTGGGAATTGTGGGTTATTGTCTAAACAAATTTTATAATTTTTGTTCTTTAAAATTATTTTTAAAAATATATAACCAAACAAGTTTTGCAATCTAAGAATTTTTAAAAACACTTTCTTAAAACTTTTCCCAAAAATAATTTTCAAATATTGTTTTTTGAGATACAAACCAAATAGGCTCCACATTTTTTTGTTTTCAAAAAACTGGATGTGTTTTCAAAACCTTTTCACAAAAAAAAAAAAAGCGAAAACGATAAACAAACACGCAGCTGTTTTCTGTTTTTGTTAAAAGTGAAACCAAAAAAAAGGAACCACGACCGTTCCAAACATAGCCTGAATTACTCAGTAATGGAATGCAGAGGGCATTTGAAGCTTGTTTCATATCTTCTGTTATAGTTTAACTGAAGTGCGTGCCACGTTATTTTGTTTGACATGTCAGATAGCATCGTTGTGCATTAAGAGTTGCGAGTATATGAACCTCTTTTCGATCCACAATTTGTTTCATACTAGGCAAATTCAAGATTCCATAAGCGACTAAGGACCTCTATAGATGTTTCCCATAATTGTGCATTCCATTTGCTGTTGTCTGAAGGGCAATGAATATGAAATCTCCTACAAACCTCTGGANTCATACTAGGCAAATTCAAGATTCCATAAGCGACTAAGGACCTCTATAGATGTTTCCCATAATTGTGCAATCCATTTGCTGTTGTCTGAAGGGCAATGAATATGAAATCTCCTACAAACCTCTGGATTTATTTGCTCCAATTTCAAATCTGTCTTGTGGAGGGAAGGCTCTCAGGTCACTAGTGCCCCAATCTATTTTTATTATCTGTGTGTTGCAAGATGGAAATTCTGTTTGGTATATTCAATTATAAGGAAGTTAGATACATTTGTGGCATAGTATATAGCTTCTTGAAACTCAGAAGGATGCAGAAAATTAATACAAATACTTGATACTGTTTTTTTTAATGTCATTCGCTTTTCAGGCTCACGCAGGAGTAGCTCTGCTGAATGCAATGCCTCCTACTCGAGGTGAAAAATCTTCATCCGAATCATCATCTAAGAATGAAACTGCAAAACCTGCTAAATTAAAGAAACTCAAGCACACAAAAGAAGCAGGGAAAGCCCTTGATATAAATGGAGAAGAGCCTTCAAAGAGCAGAGCTCTTGCAAGGTCAGAATCAACTAGCCACACAGCTAGTAATCGCCGTCTGACAGCTGCAGAGATGCAACAGCAGAAGCTGAGAAAGCTTATGGATGAGCTAAACGAGGAGGGTGATGGTCGCTCAGCTCCCATTGTTAAGCTCGGGGACGCCTCAATGGCATCACCATTCACGGCAAAGCATGCATCAGTTGCCCCTACCATTGACATAATTCGTCAGGGTCGTAGTACTCTGGTGACTACTCTCCAAATGTTCAAGATACTTGGACTTAACTGTCTTGCAACCGCCTACGTCCTGAGTGTGATGTACTTGGATGGTGTCAAATTGGGTGATGTTCAAGCTACAATCAGTGGGGTTTTTACCGCTGCCTTCTTTCTATTTATCTCACATGCTCGCCCTCTCCCTACACTTTCGGCTGAACGGCCCCATCCCAATATTTTCTGCTCCTATGTCTTCCTCTCTCTCCTGGGACAGTTTGCCCTCCACCTTTTTTTCTTGGTTTCTTCTGTGAGAGAGGCTGAGAAATACATGCCAGATGAATGTATTGAGCCAGACTCTCATTTCCACCCAAACCTGGTTAACACAGTTTCTTACATGGTGAACATGATGATCCAGGTGGCTACTTTTGCTGTGAACTACATGGGCCATCCTTTCAATCAGAGCATCTTAGAAAACAAACCATTTTTGTATGCCCTGTCGGCAGCCATTGGTTTCTTCACGGTTGTCACCTCTGATTTATTCAGGGACTTGAATGACTGGTTAAAGTTGGTCCCTTTGCCGACAGCTTTGAGAGACAAGCTCATGCTTTGGGCATTTCTAATGTTCCTGGGCTGCTACCTGTGGGAAAGGTCCTTGAGATGGGTTTTTCCCGGTAAGATGCCAGATTGGAAGAAGCAGCAACAGCTGGCTGCAACCAACCTAGAAAAGAAGAAGCGTATCTGAATGACTATCAGCCCTTCCTCAGATTGTTTCGGTCCCAGACAAGAAGAATTGTGCTGTTGTATTTTTTCTATCCCACCAGTGAAATTGATATATTTTTCTCTTAAAAAGCATGGTTGGAAATTTCTTTTTTCTTCCCTGCTCAGAATGTTAGTGATGGATCTTCTGAAAATGTTATTCTTGATTTGCTTCCCAAGTGGTTGGTTGTCGGCGCAAGAACTCGTTACCTTGAGGCTTTATAGTCTATTGAAGATGGAGGGAGCTCCCTACCAGCGGCTTTTCTTTTGCTTCCGGATGCCAATATTTTGGTACTTTACAGGAGAGAAGTGGTATCCAGGAATTTCTATACATGGGGTGTGTTTCCTTGTGAGTATCAGTGGTCATCAACAAAATATGCATGATGGTTGGGTGGAAAACAAATTTTGGATTTTTTTTGGTTTCAGTTTAGCTATGTATTTGCCAAGTAATGGATTGGTTAAGTTAATCCTTGCAATCTGTAGAGATATAGATTTAGTTTGAGCTACATTGATGATGAATTCGCATAGGCTACCCTGGAGCTAGTCAATTATTTTCAACTCTACTTACAGTTTCAAGAAGCTGCAAGGAAAAGTGTCTATTTATTGAGTAACATTGAATTCCAATGACCTAAATTGTTTTGACGGTTGCCTTTTCTGTCGGACAAGTGTTTATATCTGAAAGGATGCATTTTTCAAGGGCGAGCATTAGAATATAATGACTTATGCCACTCATCAATGGGATTATGATGCCTTTTTATTTGGGCCCCCAAAATTATTGATAGTATTTTCAAACAAAAAAACCATCGTAGTTCACGTTTTTGGTAATAATTTTCATTGGAACCCAATGACTTTTTTGTCAAGACCCCATACTAATCTCCTCATTGCAGCAATGGCCTTACATTTTTTAAAAGTTGTAATTGGACTCTCTTTTTAGACATCAACAAAAAGAATGTTTAAAATAAAATTAAAGCCGTATTGAAACTTATTCTTTCTTGGAACAAATCCTAACATCATNATAATGTTTAGGATAAAATTAAAGCCGTATTGAAACTTATTCTTTCTTGGAACAAATCCTAACATCATGTCTCCTAGGCTACCATTTTTTGTTTTGGCTGAAAGTTATTTTTTAACATTTTACCGAAGAAAAAGTCCTCTTCTATCCATTTTTTACTTGGGATTGCGGAGAAGTGCCTTAGTTGAGAATGTAACTGCCAAGCAGATTACTGGATTTCGAAGGAATACAAAGATTTTAAGGCATGCCATCCTACTAGCTTCTTGCTTTTCGCTACAGGACTGATAGAATAGCGAAATTTGTGGTGCTTTGAGGTTTTGAAGGTGGCTCTCCTGACCTCACTTAACTGTCAATGAGCACATTTGTAAGATCATCATCTGAGAGCAAAAGTGAGAAACGTACGGAGGTGGCAACAAACCAAACAACCAAGGCCATTCGCTAGCAATTGCTGGTCCGTCATCAAGTATGGCAAGTGATGGGAGGTGGCAGTGGTGTGCAAGAATAAGGAGGGCTTCCAGTGAGCAAGCAGAGGTCTTTCCAACCAAGCTTGAGGATGCCATTGTCCTCCACCACTTTATAACCATCCGAAGGGAACATCCCCAGCAAGAGGGTGGCCTGCGCGACAGCATTGCCTGCCAGATAGATCCCCCTATTATTCTTTTATCAATAAAATCATCATGAGGTTTTGCTCAAACTTGTTCAAAAAAAAAAGGTTTTGCTCAAAAAATATAAAAAAGTAGATAAATGTAACATGCCCAATTTTTATGAAAACCCTAATTTACAAGACAAAAATCATTCATAAGAACATGGTCGCTACACACTCAAAATAAACGGATAAATCTGAATTTAAAACCATAAAAATAGCCATTCTTGAAAATCAAACGCAAACAAAAACAAAATTGGCCATACTTTCATCATGATTCCTCGGCCTTTTTTGTTTTTTCCCTCTGCTCTTTGCTTTTGATAAAAAAATACCAAGGAAACCATCGGGGCCTGGGGTTTTGAAATTGCCCAATTGCTTATTAGCTCTCACAATTTCGTTATAGTTACAGGGCTTAGTAGCCTGGAGTTCATTTCACCACAAACAAGAGGGGGAATCACCTCAAGAAGTTCACTAAAATCTTGCGCCCCAAGTCAAGTTTAAAAACCGATGTTTTGTTCTTTTTCTTGAACAAAGAGTAACTAATAATTTGGAAACCATATTCTAATTAACATCCGAATTCCTAGCCCTGAATTAATTCCATATTATCTTTGATAGCCTAATTTAGTTATACTAATTGGTGTCTAAATCAAGTAACGACATTTTTATTTACATTAGATTATTTTTGTGTGGGGGTATACGTCATTGTTTCACCTTTTCTTTCCCTACACTGCCTAACACTCGGTCCTTGCGATTGGGGGAATTCATTGGCTATTGTATATAGGTGGACAAGTGAAAATCATAAACTTGGCCAGTCGGCTACCCGTTTTTTATTGATTGATTATGTACTGGTAATGACAACTTTAGATTAGACCTCTACTCGAGTCGGTGCTTGATAAGCTGAGTAGATACCTGTTAGGAATATGAGGCCTACCAAGAACAGACTAACTTGGCTTGTTGCTTGTTGTCCATGATCTTCTTCTCACTCCATGGTGATTATAATTACCCTATATAACAAATTAACTGTAAAGCTAGTTCAAAAATTTTGAGTGCTCTTTGGTGAGCCATTTGAACTATTTACAAAAACTTGTTTTGTTATGTCTCTGGAAAGTATTGTTCTTTCTGTTCTACTATATATTTGGGTTATGAAACTTTTGATATTTAGTGTTACCTTTTGCCTCAATTTCAACTTGTAGAGAACTAATGATCACAAAATGTTCAGGTTTCGATGGCATTGAAATTCATGAAGCCTCCATGGCTACCTCCTTGACCAGTTCATGAAGGGTGGAATAAATGACTGCACGGACAAGTATGGCGGATCCGGTGCAAAATTCATAAAACGGGTGGTTCAAGCAATAGCTGCAGTTATTGGTGCAGATGAAGTTGGTGTCAGAATTTCACCAGCAAGCGATCACCTTGATGCCATTGACTCTGATCCACTTAACCTAGGCCTGGGCCCAAAAATTACTATCTCCATGTGACTCAGCTGCACTACACAGCCTATGGCCGGACCGAATCAGGTAGACACGGCGGTGAAGACAAGGCGACCCAGCTACTGAAGGCTTGAAGAAGGAACTTTCATCTGCAGTGGTGGATTCACTAGGGAAATGTGAATGGAAGCTGTGGCTCAAAGTGATGCTGATTTGGTGTAATATGATATGATCTCATTTTCATCTCAAATCCTGATTTACTTTTGAGACTCAAGCTCAATGCACCTCTAAATCGGTATGTTAGGGCTACTCTCTATACCCATGCTTCTGTTTTAGGGTACAATGACTACATTTAAGTCTAAGCAAGGGAAGTGGCCGGGGGCCTCTCTCTAATTGATATGTTATTGACACTCTGAAGTATGTAATATTTTCCTCCTTTTTGCTACAATGGAAAGCAAAGAGAAGCGTGGAATAATATTGTCCCTATTAACCAAACAGATAGAGCCTATCAACAACTATCTCAGTTATGTACTGGATATGGTCGATAGTGGTGTGGTGGTATATTGCTTTACAGCAGAGTAGGGTGAACATAGAAATCAATTTATTTTTTCTAAATTATATTGTACGTACTATTATATACATAACACTCCAGCATATAGGACAAGATCTAAAGCCCTAACTACTTCTGTTGCTCGGGAAAATATTTCCACACGAGATAGTTGAAAAATCACTCCTGTTTGACAGAAGTTGTTTTGAGCCGGAGGAATAATGATTCTCTTGTGCAAAAACAAGTACTAGATTTAGAAATCTAAATAACCTTTTCGGTGTAAATAAGAAAATAATAGCAACAGCAAAAACAGCCGGAGGAATAATGATTCCTTTGTGCAAAGACAAGTATTAGATTTAGACATCAAATAACCTTTTCGGTGCAACTAAGAAAATAATAGCAACAGCAAAAAAAATATTGAAGTTTGCAAGAAAATTGGCGGGTTAGGATCTGCACCAGCTAGAGATGTAGAGGCTTTGGGTGAGTATGACCTTGTTTGCAGGTTATTGAAGAACTGAGAAGGTGATGCAGGTTTTACTTGGCTTGATGCTTTGTTGAATTCTCCAAAATAAGAGGATAAATAAAGAAAATAGTGTTTTAATGTTTTATATCACAGTGGAGGTGTGGAAGCAGTCGTAGTAATGTTTATCTTTGTTGGATTGGATAGTAAACAACGAACAGGACCGGGCGTGAAATTAAGCAAAGAAGATACCAATACCATCATTATTTGTACGTCGTGACATGCCATCTAGTACCTTTTCTGTCTTGGACAGTTGGACCTGGCAACATGTTATATGTTCAATTATATGCTTTCGGTGATTCGATTGGGGTCGGAGGAAATTGGAAGCTCCGTTAGTGATTGTCAGCTTATAATATTGTCTTGGTATTATTCCTGGTATTTTGTAGGCAGAGAATCAAGAATCTAGCTTGCATGTAATTTATATTCATCATCTTTTGTTGTGACGGAGTTATCTTTGGCCGGTCAGTCGGCTTAAGCATTTGTTGGATTCCTAAGCTTTCAACCACCATATATAATGTACCAAAAACTTCCTCCCACAATACATCTCTCTCTCTCTCGCTCTCTCTCTCGTGGTTGGTAGGAGCACCCTGGGCCATGGTAATCATTCATTAATACCGTTATTACGTAGTCTCAGCTGTGTAAAAAACATATTTTGTTCAGCTTAGATGAGATTTCCCACTCCTGTTCTTTGCTCCTTGGGCTTAGTGGCTGAATTGTTTGTGATACCGATGTATAAACTTTTGCCAACCAATGGCTAGAGCATTTCATCACTCTGAAAGTTTGCCATTAACTTAGGTCCAACAAATTTCCAAAAATTCATTGACCTCGGTATTTAGTACTCCAGTGGGAATCATATTTCTTGATAGTAACTAACATGTAATTTTCTTTTTTTCTTTTTTTTTTTTTGGTATTTCTCGCCAGAAATACCAAAAGTAAACAATCAGAATTTAACCAAAAAAGTAAACAATTTGAATGTTTTGGCCAATTTCAGAAAAATACCATGACTACATTTTATTAGAAACACTTACTATAGTATGATTTTTTCATGTACAAAGTGAGGGAAATTTGAATATGGGTTGCGCAGGTCGTCATATATATCTAACATATCGCCACAGAGTAGAACCACAATTATTCCCATTACACCTTAATTCCTCTTCCCCAATTTTTTGCACTTCTCCTCCATTTTGCCCTCATTCCCCCTCTTCCTGGGTCTCGTATTTCTTCAGGTCCAATAAAAAATTTTAAGCCTCTCCTTTGTGAATCTAACTCTTTATAACAAGAAATACTACTACAAGGCAAAGAACTGTTCTAGATCTCCCTCTCTGTCCATCTACCCCCGAGTAAATATTTGTTTTTGGTTGTGCATACAGTTATACTATAATATGTTGTGTGGTGTCCTAAAATTTCTCTAATGTTCATATATTTATACATGTCTAGGGAATGAATGATGGATCTGTTGATATAATTTACCAACCAATGAAGAATCCTAGACAAGGTGGGTTTAGAGCCACCCTTTTCATTTTTGGTAAGTAATCACTCACCATCCTTAACCATTGAATACAGTTTCTGAGAAACGAAGAAATCTTAATTTGTTAATCAAAGTTTTGGACACTCATCACCGTCGTATTTCATGCTTGAAAACATTGCAGCAATGATGTGTCTGGATAACATAGGCTTTGTGGCAAACATGGTAAGCCTAGTTCTGTACTTACTTTTCGTCATGCACTTTGACACGTCTGGCTCTGCAACCACCACGACAAACTATTTGGGTACTGCATTCTTGCTTACACTGGTGGGAGGCGTCATATCTGACACCTACATGAATCGTCTCAACACTTGCCTTTTCTTTGACATCATCCAGTTACTGGTAATTTTTCAGTTTTTCATCTTGTGTAGAAAAGTAATTAAAGAGTAGTATTGGAATGCACTCTGGCGTGGCCGGGTTTTTATTTTAATCACACTAGCTTTATGGTTGGATTAACCCTTCATTCAGGGATACATGTTGCTCATCATTCAATCCCATTATGGTAAACTGCAACCTGAACCATGTGGGAAGTCTAGCTGTGTCCATGGAACTAAAGCTTTGCTATTTTACGCTTCTATTTTCTTGTTGGCTCTGGGAGGGGGTGGGATTAGAGGTGCAGTGCCTTCTTTGGGTGCGGATCAGTTCGACCAAAATGACCCAGAGGAAGGCAAGCACATAACCAGCTTCTTCAATTGGTTTTTGCTTAGTATTACCATTGGGGCTTCAATTGGGGTAACAGTTGTTGTATGGGTAAGTGCAAATGTGGGATGGGATAAGGGCTTCATCATCTCCATGGTCTGCTCTTTTGCTGGTCTTATTTCTGTTCTACTTGGAAAGCCATTATACCGTGTCCGGGTGCCGGGGGAAAGTGCCTTGCTGAGTGTTTTACAGGTACCACTCAGTCTCTCTCTCTCTCACGCCCGCACACGCACAGTCTCATACACATTTAGCCAGCCAGCCAGCCAGCTTTAAGTTGAATAAATTATGTCCATACTAGTGATCAACAAAATAATTTGATGATGATCGATCGATCGTATTCGTTGCAGGTTTTGGTGGCAACAGCAAGGAACTGGGCGGTACAGCTGCCACAGAACTCCCGTGAATTATATGAGCTCCGTGGCTCTGAGTCTGCTTCAGCTTCTTCACGGATCCCCCACACCAACCAATTCAAGTAGGTTTTCTTATACTTGTGATTTGGGCACTATATATTTTTGGGTTAATCTCATTTTATGCTCTAAAAGATTGTTCAAATCTCAATTTATACTTTTAAAGATCAAAAATCTCAATTTTTACCCTCAAAGATAGAAATTTGTATCAATGTGCATCCCCAAAAATAAAAAATCTCAANATGTTTTCTTATACTTGTGATTTGGGCACTAAATATTTTTGGGTTAATCTCATTTTATGCTCTAAAAGATTGTTCAAATCTCAATTTATACTTTCAAAGATCAAAAATCTCAATTTTTACCCTCAAAGATAGAAATTTGTATCAATGCATCCCCAAAAATAAAAAATCTCAATTTACACCCTCAAAGATAGAAATTTGTATCAATGTGCACCTAAAATTAAATTAATAAATTATACCTAGATCTCTTCATGTTTGTCACTTAATCATTTGAACTCCTTCACATTTAGAATATTCCCCTTACATCTCATGACGTTTGTGCATGTGTAACACATAACCACTGNCTTAAAATTAAATTAATAAATTATACCTAGATCTCTTCATGTTTGTCACTCCTTCACATTTAGAATATTCCCCTTACATCTCATGACGTTTGTGCATGTGTAACACATAACCACTGTTCGTTGATATCTGTTAATATAATCATTAAAAAATATGATTTTATCCTAATAAAAAATTATAATTTCATATTACCTTTTATTTTGTGAATTCGATATACTCTAAAATTGAAAATCAAACTTACTATTTGAATGTCTAATAAAATGTAGATATTTATATAAAAGGTAATATGAAAAATATTATATAAATATTTACATTTTATTAGACATTCAAATGGTAAACTAGATTTTGAAATTTAGAATATATTGAACCCATAAAATAAAGAGTAATATGAAATTATAATTTTTTATTAGAATAAAATTATATTTTTTAACGGTTATATTAATAGATATCAATGAAAATGAGTTACGTGTTATACGTGCACAAATGTCATAAGATGTAGGANGAGTAATATGAAATTATAATTTTTTATTAGAATAAAATTATATTTTTTAACGGTTATATTAATAGATATCAATGAAAATGGGTTACGTGTTATACGTGCACAAATGTCATTAGATATAGGAGTAATATTCTAAATGTGAAGAGATCTAAATGATTAAGTGACAAGTATGAGGGGATCTAGGTATAATTTATCAATTTAGTTTTAGGTGCACATTGATATAAATTTCTATCTTTGAGGGTGTAAATTGAGATTTTTGATCTGTGGGGGTGCATATTGATATAAATTTCTATTTTTGAGGGTATAAATTGAGATTTTTAATTTTTGAAGGTGTAAATTGAGATTCGAACAATCTTTCGGGGTACAAAATGAGATTAACCCAATATTTTTTTATCAAAAATGGCTTGAAATCAGCTCATAAATTTGTTGTCCAACACAAAAGAAAGAACCAAATTCGTGCTGGAATTGCACCAAATTGGCAGGCAATGCTTTCTCATGAAACAAGGCTAAATTGTAATAATGGTCCTTAAAGTCTACCTCTAGTTGAACTTTAGTCCCTAAACTTTTGATTTCACCAATTTACTCCTCAAAATTTTGCACTGAAAATTATCCATTTTTTTTTTGCAGGTAACTCTTAATCAAATTTTTACTCAAATTTTGATCAAGAGTTATCCAAATTATTTTTTTACTCATATTTAGGTATTACGTGAGAAATTTATAATAAAAAAAAAATCATTAGTAATATAGATGATATTTGCTTGAGAGACCATTTAATAATATCTTCAATATTTTAATGACTAAAATGATATAATTAAAATATTTGGGACTAAAAAGAGATACACTCCATATTTTAGGAACCTCTAATGTAATTAACCATAATTATTAAATGTCGTAAATTACAACATCTATTCAATAAAGTAGCTTACAATTCAAATCTTAAAAGATAAACAAAATGACTTTTCCTATTCGCGGTTAAGATCGCTTTAAATTTTACNAATCATTAGTAATATAGATGATATTTGCTTGAGAGACCATTTAATAATATCTTCAATACTTTAATGACTAAAATGATATAATTAAAATATTTGGGACTAAAAAGAGATACACTCCATATTTTAGGAACTTCTAATGTAATTAACCATAATTATTAAATGTTGTAAATTACAACATCTATTCAATAAAGTAGCTTACAATTCAAATCTCAAAAGATAAACAAAATGACTTTTCCTATTCGCGGTTAAGATCGCTTTAAATTTTACTTTAAAGTTAATCTAACGGTTAATATTAACACCCTAAATTTAATAGAAAAAATAGGACCCTAAAGGTGTGTTTGGAATGATTTTTTAAAAGTATTTTTACAAATTATTTTTTATAAATACTTTAAAAAAAATAGTGTTTGAAACCGTCTCGCCACTGTCACTGCTGCTACCCCCACCCCCACCACCGCCACCGCCCCACTGTCGTCGCCACCACCACCACTACCACCGCCACCCCCACCGCCCCCATCACCGTCTTCTACAACCATCATTAACGCCCATCACCTCTCACCCCGTTACAAACTGATACTTAAATTCTTTTTATCTTTTTTTTATGTTTGTAATTTAATTTTGGATATAAATACAAATACGTTTATTGTTTATCATTTTTTATTATATTGTACCTTCAGACACAGGCAATAACTAGTTTGTCTATAAAATACCAAAAATATCTTTAAAGAGATGCAAGTGACAGGCACAAGAAGGTAGTTTCTGCCTCTGTTTTTTAGCCACAATTAGTGTCAAGGATTATATTGACTTAATGTTTGAATTTTGGGGAAAAAATTAAAACTTTAATAACTAAAATGCAATGAGTGATAAACCTCAAGGTGCAATTTAGCCCACGAAACAATTTATACTTGATGCAAAAAATTGAAGTGCTTGATCTATATTCGCAATTACCTGACCTAACCATTTAAGGGGGTGTGTTTTTTTCCCACAAAAATGGTGTAATCCTGACCGGAACAGAATACTAGACAAAGCTGCCGTTGTTCCCGAAGGCAGCAAGCCATGTAAATGGAGGGTTTGCACTGTGACACAAGTGGAAGAAGTAAAAATTCTAACGAGGATGATGCCTATCCTTCTGAGCACTATCCTGATGAACACATGCCTAGCTCAATTGCAAACTTTCTCGGTCCAACAGGGGACACTCATGAACACTAAAATTGGTGGTTTTACAGTGCCGCCTGCGTCGATTCCGGTGATTCCCCTATTGTTCATGTCCCTTCTCATACCTCTATATGAATTTGTGTTTGTTCCAATTGTGAGGAAATTCACGGGTCACCCCAATGGCATAACCCACCTCCAGAGGGTTGGGATTGGGCTTGTTCTCTCAGCAATTTCCATGGCCATAGCGGGGATAGTAGAAGTGAAGAGGAGGAATGAACTGGTCCACCACAACCACCGCATTAGCCTATTCTGGCTCTCATTTCATTATGCAATCTTTGGGATCGCAGACATGTTCACACTGGTTGGGCTGATGGAGTTCTTTTACAGTGAGGCTCCTGCTGGCATGAGATCTCTCTCCACTTCTTTCTCCTGGCTCGCCCTCTCTATCGGCTACTACTTGAGCACCATATTTGTAGACATCATTAACTCAGTCACCGCCAAGTTTACTTCGAGCAAGACAGGGTGGCTTGCAGGCCTTGATATGAATAAGAACCATTTAGAGCTCTTCTATTGGTTCTTGGCAATTCTCAGCATTCTCAACTTTGTCAATTATGTTTTTTGGGCCAAGTGGTACAAGTACAAGAACGATTCAGCTCCATTAATTGACGAACAGAAGCTTCTCAGAACCCCTGATCCATCTCCCTCCCCGGCCATCGCTATGAGCTTTATATCTAATTCTAAACCACAGGAGGCCTGATCTGTCAGACAGGTGTTGTGGTGTATCTCTGTTATATATGTTGTCATCAAATGTCAATTTTTTTTTCAGAGTGATATATTCACGTCAAAACTAGATTAGATGAATCAAGCCTCCAAGCATTAAAGTCAGAAAATGTTATTAGTAAGTGTTTGCATGCCCATCTTTATTATTAATGAGTACTAGACTAGGCCTGTATTTTTTTTAGAATATAAAATTTCTTCTTGTGGATTACAAGTGTTCCCCACTTGTAGTGTATAACAGCACAATGGTTCCCTTAATCAGAGACGAATTAAACCATTTTTAACATCAACTTCTCCAGAGGCCGCGCAGGTCACCAAATCAAAAGGCTCCAAAAATCCAACCCGATTGGCAGTCATGAGGGAGAGGAACCCTGGCACCCTTAGCTACAAAATAGCCTAGCTAGCAGTCATAGCAGAATGACATGATCTGTGAACACAAGTCTTTTACATTATACCAATTGGCAGCTAGCGTTCGTTCCAAGGATGCCTAATATTGACCAAACATTACCTCACAAGCACACGTAGGTTTACATGTTAGTTAGCTCTGGTCGTGCATTGTCTTTGTACTTTTTCTCAATTTTTGACCGAGTATTCATAAGAATCTGTGGAGCAAATGTTGGTGCCATTGTTTTTGTCTTTTACACCAAGAGATGATTTTTAAGGACGTTGTGGTTCCATTAGTCATTGTCAACCACTTCCCTCAGTTGACGTTGTGACAAATGATCTCAAAGTCTTCCAGTAGCACTTCTCGAGTTAGTTCGAATAAGTGTTGCATTTGTCATGAAAAAGGGTACTGCAAGGCTTTGCGCCCTAAATTAGTGAATCAATCATTTAACACTAAATTAGTGTGATCTCTAGCTATTTTTGAAACAATTCGAGATGTGTCTTCTCTTGTAATATTTAATCAATTGATTAAAATACTTTTGGGACTAGATAACGTATTAATTGGATAATATAAACAATTAACATATTATTATAATTATAACAGTATATATCACTTAGAACCCTATCTACCCAAAGGAGCAATATTATTACTATTTATACTGACCTAACAATCAGGTAGAGTGGTTCAGCAGGTACTGGTCAAATTTTTGTCTTTGCCGTTAAAAGTTCAAGTCTTAAAGTTCATATGAGAGATCGACAGTTGACTGTTATATTACCTTAATTAGGTTCGTTCTTGAGGAGAGTAATAAACACGATCAAGGGCCTCATAATCTTATTGATAAGAACTTATTAGGTAATATTTGAGCATTCTCTTTTGTTCCTGCTCTTTCATATAATTAGTCAAAAAAAAATTATTGACCTAATTTACTGAATTTAATTTAATTTATTATGACATTTAGATTAACTACGACATTTATTAAATATTAACACTTAATATTATTTCAATACTTTCACTAAAATCATAGGCCAAATAAAGAATAATGTTATTTCTAACCTAATGTATACCTTTGCCCCAGCAGCGTTCATCTTGTTGGACAGATGCAACGCTGAACGCCAAGCTTGAAGGCGTCTCTCTCTCTCTCTCTCAAAAGCATGAAACTTCACTCGGCATGGAGTTGGTCAAAGAACCCCGTCAAGTTCAGGATGTGAGTCCCCACCTCTCCCTCTCTTTTACCCTTGTAATGAATTTTGTAAGCTGACTATGAAATCTTCATCAATTTCTTGAGAGTATTTATGTATAGCATGTACTCTAATCCAATTTGGAACTGCAGTCCAACTGCCGACAATCTAGTTCCAATTCGTCTGGACATCGAAATTGACGGTCAGAGGTTCAGAGATGCTTTTACTTGGAATCCTTCTGGTAAACGTACTATTAAAGATAAAGAACGTCAACTGTCTCTTAAATCATGGACCTAATTCATGGCTAGCTTGATATCTTGCATTTTCTAAGCCACACGTTTTTATTCTGGTGAATTGTCCCCTTACATAAATGGATTTTTTTCTTGTATCAAGCTCAAAATTCAACTTTTATGCAATTACTTTCCCAAAAAAAACTTTTATGTAATTCATCAATAAGAGAGAAATCCCTTAAATGAACTGTCCGTAGATGTAGATTTTATGGGTTGAACCACATTATATCATTTTGTTCTTCTTGTTCTTCGATTATCTCTTCTTTATTCTCTATATCTGTTTGGCATATTTTGAATTGTGGGCATGCCAAAGTCCGAATGGACTTAGATTCCAAACACTTATGACCTTACCTACTTAAATTGGCGTGAAGTTCTAAAATCGTGGTTGTTCAGGCAATTGAAACGAAATGTAAGGCTACCTCTAGATTCTTTTCTACCTTGGAGATCAAAGACTTAAAACAATTTCCTTTGCAGCAAGCAAATGAACTAAGAATTAAAAATAGACTGGAATTGGAAAAAAGAATGTAATTTAAATGACTAAGAGAAACTTCTGTTTGAACTACTGTACTTGAAATTAAATGGAAATAAGATCACCGGAGTGACACTTATAGAGTAAAAACAAATGAACAACAATAAACTAAATAGTGCGGATGAAGACTATGTTATGTTGACCGAGAGATCTCTTTTTTGTAGTCTATGTCTTTATAATTATAGGCGCCTAGGCTGTTACTCTTAGCTGTTGGAGTAATCTTTTTCGGCCACAAATCTGGTACTCATGGCATTGTGCATTGAACCATCTGTAACCGTTAACTCATGATGTCACGTCTCTTCGTTATTCAAGATCCATGGAGACCTTTTCTCTTAACCATCTTATCTTCCTTGGACCTTCTCTGACTTAATTCTTTGTAGCCGTTGGATCTTGCCATGTGTCGTTATCAAATTTTTCAATATTTGAGTGTAACATTATTGATGCAATCCATAAAATGCTCAAGAAAATACAAATTCGAAGATGTGAAAGATAATGGAATTGACTTTCCATCAAGACAAAGAAAGATATGGAACATTGCATTATTGTATTTTGAGTCTTATTTTAAGTCACTTTACTAGTATTAATATTTTATATGTCTTTTTAATATTTTTTTGTGTCGGGAGTACTTTTGTAATTTTTTGAATTTCTGGAATAAGTCATATTTTTGGGTCAAATTCTAGTATTGAATATTCTAAAATTTAAAATCCTATTTTTAGTTAATTTAATATTCTAATTTGTAGGAATCTAGTGTTTTTGAAGTTTTAGAGACTTTGGAATTCTAATCTTTTGGAATTAGGATTACTTAGAACTCTATATATAGTTAGTGTTACTTTTCATAATAGAAAGGAGAGATATTCAGAATTTTTTAGCAATTACAAATTTCTTGAGTAGTGTGATGTAATTCTAACTCTAGGTGTGATGCCTACGGAACCCTAGGAGTGATTCCTAACCAAATTTACTATTCACGCTACTGTTCACAGCTCCATTACTGTTCACAGTCCCTGAACAGCCCCTTAGCAGTCCCTATTTTTTATTTTACAAAGTTGTCATACATCAATTGTCCACCCAAAACAACGCGATGATATGCTTCACATCTGAAGTGTCGTTTTGGTTCGTTGAATTGGAACTGCTACTACCTTAATTCCTTTGCTTAGTTGTCACCTCAATATTGGCCACATTGTTCAGCGAATGCGGTTCAGCTTCCACATGTAGACTCTCATCCTTCTTCCATCCTTTCAAATCTACGGGAAACAGTTGGTACGCGATTCATTCATATCTTCTCATTATTACGACGATTCGCTTATTGTGCATATATATTTCTTCTTCAAACTTTATTTTTTATCATCAACCTGTTATTTAACTCTTATTTCTCTTACAATGATGATTTTTCATGCTAATTCTCTTTAGGAAGCACTTGGAAAGGTTTCTTCTCCTAAAATCAACCATCATACTTTCATTTCTGAATTCGACACTTCTCCATTGGTGATGNAAAGGAGAGATATTCAGAATTTTTTAGCAATTACAAATTTCTTGAGTAGTGTGATGTAATTCTAACTCTAGGTGTGATGCCTACGGAACCCTAGGAGTGATTCCTAACCAAAATTACTATTCACGCTACTGTTCACAGCTCCATTACTGTTCACAGTCCCTGAACAGCCCCTAAGCAGTCCCTATTTTTTATTTTACAAAGTTGTCATACATCAATTGTCCACCCAAAACAACGCGATGATATGCTTCACATCTGAAGTGTCGTTTTGGTTCGTTGAATTGGAACTGCTACTACCTTAATTCCTTTGCTTAGTTGTCACCTCAATATTGGCCACATTGTTCAGCGAATGCGGTTCAGCTTCCACATGTAGACTCTCATCTTTCTTCCATCCTTTCAAATCTACGGGAAACAGTTGGTACGCGATTCATTCATATCTTCTCATTATTACGACGATTCGCTTATTGTGCATATATATTTCTTCTTCAAACTTTATTTTTTATCATCAACCTGTTATTTAACTCTTATTTCTCTTACAATGATGATTTTTCATGCTAATTCTCTTTAGGAAGCGCTTGGAAAGGTTTCTTCTCCTAAAATCAACCATCATACTTTCATTTCTGAATTCGACACTTCTCCATTGGTGATGGGTCTTGGTCTCGCTTTCACTGTATTTCCTCTGATTGCCATTCACCGGCTATATCGTACCTCTCATGAACCTCTTTCATTCAAATTTGAAAATTGGCTGCAGTTGTCTAATTGGAGTTCTAGAATCCTGTTCTTGCATGGAAGACTCCTTCAGAATGAATTTCATGGGTCCCACATGTTAAAGCGGAGAAAAACTGATTATGACAACATTTGAGCATCTACAATGCCATAGACATCAGCACCATCAACATTTTTTTTATAGGAAATGAAAATTTTATTTACATAACATAACCTATATATCACATGAAGCTTATCATTCCAATAAAATTACAAATAGTGGGATTCCTTTAAATTCTTTAGTAATTGGTATTTGATGCATCGAATGATGCTAATAAATAAATATAATCTCATAAACCTTGCCCACACTCAACTCAATTTTTAAAGATTTTTGCGATTTTTTCCTTCCAAATAACCCACAAAATAGCAATAATGACACAAGTCACACAACTTCAAAGGGTATTTTCTTTATCACTCCTCCCAACACCTATGAAATCTTCAACAAATAAAGATGTAGTTGAAATGTGAGCCACCCAATTCACAAGACCAATGAAATCTGGTCTATGGTGAACAATGTCTTTCACTTTCATTGTGGCATGATGGATCCGACTGTTTATGACTTCTCTGCCCTCCTCGGCTCTCATGTTCTGGTCTCAAAATTTCTTTATCGAACCACTCATTTGTTAATCATTGCTGAAAAATCTGTGTCAAAAAAAAAAAAAATCTTAGATCATCTTTGCCACATGTTTTTCTAACATGGTCTTCATCTTTTCTCCCTTCGATTATATTCCTCCACATCCTCCTTTTTCAAAGTTCACATGTCATCTCACGACATTGATCCTACCAATAGTCTCACCAATACGTTTCTTATTATTTCTCAGAGACACCTTTCAAACTCTGTTTCTCAGCATTCTTACATTCTGTGTGATTCACCCATAATCTCATTCTTAAATTTCTCTTCCTTTCTTGTTCTTCTATTCCTATCATTGGAGGATTTGTTATCAATTTCACCCAAATTGTTGGTTGTTATCAACTTCATTATTTGATGGTGGTTATCAGCTTCACCATTTCAATTCACGTGGTTGTGATAAGCCTCACCAATTTCAATGCAGTTGTCAACCAACTCATTAAGACCATGTCTGTCAATTTGGACAAACTCAACGTATCACGGTCAAGTTGAACACTTCACTGCAACTTTCTGTGTGCCAATTTGAGTGGGAATACTAAAGATAAAGNAAACAATTTCGTATCACGGTCAAGTTGAACACTTCACTGCAACTTTCTGTGTGCCAATTTGAGTGGGAATACTAAAGATAAAGAAAGTAATCTATTGCCCAGACCATGGACCTAACTGATGGCTCGATATCTTGCATTATACCAGCCAGAAATGTTCATTGTAATGAATAGTCACCCTTTATAAATGGGTGTTTTTCTTGTATCAAGCACACAATTCGACTATAATGCAATCTATCAATATAAGAGGAAGTCCTTATGGATATTGTGTCCGTGGATGTGTTCTTCTTTTTCTCCAATTATCTCGTTTCTATCTTATGACACAAATTTTAACACGTACAAGTGTATGTCCATATGTGTGTGCGTTCACGTCATAGTTGTCAAATCGCGATTTGTATCATGAATCGGAATCTTAAATTTGAGAATCGTGAATCGTAAGATTCGACACAAAATTTGAACAAAAATAAAAAATAATACTACATATTTAATATAGACAAAATATTGAATATTATTGTATTCTAAAAATAATTAATTAACATAATCATGTCGTCTAAATGGAAAGACGCTAACATTTTACTTCATTTTTATCTTTTTTTTAATTATTTTCAAATTCAGCAACTTGAAAACAAAGAATTCATTAAAGAACCATGGCTATTCAAGAACCAAAATAATGACACTCAATATAGATTAGATTACAAACTTGAATGAAAAAAGACAAATAAGAAAATTGATTTTGGGAAAACATACAGGCTAGCATTTTGAAACAAAAAAATTAGAACTTAACAAACTACCCATAAAAGAATTGAGAGCAAAAATTAACCGATGATGAGAGAGCGTTAGCCGTGACCTTTAGGTTTAAACAATGCAAGGTGAGTTTTAGACGATGTCAGAAAAAGAACGAGCAAAGAGGTTGAATTTTTATTAAGGCGTGAGTTCCTCTGTAAACAAAACGACGTCGTTTTACTGTTTAGGGGACGAAATGACGTCGTTTTGCAAAAAAATTGGATTTTAAAAAAAAGTTATTGAATCGTGCGATTCGTGAGATACGAATCGAATCATACGATTCAGTCGCGATTCAACTCTAAAACGATTCTCATATAAGATACGAATCGTTTTGTACTTGTATCAAGTCGAATCGAATCGTGAATCGTACAATTTTGATAACTATGGTTCACGTGTGTGTGTACATTCCCGCTTTTGTTCTACATTTAATGCATCCAAATAGTTAAGGCACTAGGGAGGTTGGGTGCAAATTTATTGTAGCAAAAGCCTACATGCGTACCTTCTTATACTAAAGACTGACTATACCCATACTATTACAACATGGTTTCTTGACTCGAACAATAATTTCAAACTTTTGGTCTCATGAGATTACATAACTAAGTCAGTGACATCTCAGATTGAGGATACCCTCATTACAGAGGACATCACTCGTGACTTTATGTGCTTCAAAATTCTCTTCTGTAAACATTGCAATGTGGGTGGAAGTAACCCCTTCGATTATAATATTTACTTTCCTTTTCTCTTTTTCCTTTCCTAAAGTACACAATGTATAAGTTTTAGTTAATATTATGCTGTGTATATATTTGGTTTCCCTAAGCAATCTCCCTTCCCATTGTAGAATTTTTGCCATGAATAAAAAACTCATTGTTGCAGACGCTGGATAAGCTGCATTACAGCCATATGTGTGTTTTGTTGATTGAGATATATCAAATTATTCTTGCAGATCCTATGAACTAATTGCATTTGTTTTAAACTTGTATAGACCCAGATTCAGAGGTAGTAGTGTTTGCAAAAAGAACAGTAAAAGACTTAAAGCTTCCTCCGGCATTTGTTACGCAGATTGCTCAGTCCATTCAAGTAAGTGAAAAAAAAATCAGCTGATTGCTGGTGTTGCCTCGTTGTGAATTACACTTATCTTACTGATTTATCTTTTCTTTTGGTTCCACGTCAATCAATTGTAGATAGTGGGCAGAAAAAGCTCCTTTGGACTAAAGTTTAGGGCTCGCTTTATTGGACTTCTTAAATTAGATTAATGTACATCTCAAGAGCAAGGATCAAAATTTTGTTTCGGTGCATTGTTTCAGTCATCTAGAAAATGTAAAAGTTTCGACCCGACAGGACATTGTAAGAATAAATAGTCCACACTCTCACTGTCGCCTTTACACAAATCGCATCATTGTGGTAGGAGAGAAGTCATAAGTCTACTTTTTAATGTACATTATAATCATTAATATGTCCATGAGCAATTATCCAGACATAGATTTGTTCCTTTAAAGACGCACTAACTTCCCAAATCATTCCATGGAGGGAACAAAAGAAGGGAGGGATCATCAATTAAGGACTCAAAAAAAGATTTACATGAGAAAATACTAGAAGAATCAATAGTCCAACATCTTTTGTTTAGGCCCCTAGATTCTTTCCCTTGGCTTTTTTTAGCATGATCTCATATGTTGTTCTAGAATATTGGTGTTTGTAGGTACAGCCAGTGTATTTTGGTTTTAGTCATACTTCTAACTAACCCCAAAAGACAAAAATCTTTCCAGAGTATTGGGTATTGGTAATATCATATAATGTTTCAATGCAACATTGCACTTAAACAATTACACTGTCTACAAAAACAGCAGAAAGCCCAATGCTCTTGTCTTAAGGTGCTCCAAACATGTAGAGAAAAGCTGATTCTTGGGATCAACTGGTGATAGTGGCTGGAAGAGAAATTGAAGGAGAAGGTGCTTGCAAGTTGGGAGTGGCTTAGAAAGGAATAACAAATTTTTGGAAATGGTTACCGTGACAAAGGGGCTATACTTCAGGACATTGAGAGAGAACTTCGAGGCAGGCTTGCTAGGTTAAATGTAGTTTTAGATGCATGGGAGCTCGGGAGATTTTATGATACCCGGAAATTAGATGTGTTGGAATACCTCAAGTGTTATGCAATTTAGTTACTGTCGTATTTGTACTTTTGTGAAGTCGAAGCATGTCTGGAGTGTTTGAATGAGCACTAATTTTTTTTTTTTCCTGGCCTAGTCAAAATGAGAAGAGGAGGGGAAGGAGAGGGGGCAAGTGTACTTCAGAATACTTCTGTCTTCTAGGTTCTGGAAAAGTATTGGTGGATAAAGTGAGATAATCTTGTCTACTGCAAAAACTTGTATCATATCATGATCAATTGATTGTGACATTTTTTGTTATGGATCCTTTGTAATAATTCATAGTTATATGGAAGTGGAGCTAACTACCACAGCTTTTTTGCAAAATCTTATTAGTTCTGATTTTTCCGATGAGACTAAACCAATGTACTTGGATGCTGCCTAAATAAACTCCTAACTTGCTCACAAAGAAAGCGAAAGGTAAAGGAATTAAAAACCAGAAAGTTGCCTGACGATCTTGATCTTATTGGTGGTGCTTTTGGGATTTCAATTGTTGCAGTCACAGTTGGCGGAATTTCGATCATTTGAAGGACAAGATATGTATACTGGCGAGAAAATTGTCCCAATCAAGGTCTGTCTTCCCTGGCGCATGATGCTTGTTGTTTCTTTCTGTTTACACGTATATCTGCATTTGCTACTGCTTTTTGTTCATGGGCCTCCTGGCTCTCTACCCCTGTTGATGTTTGGTTATTGAATGTTGATGGCACTTTTTTTCTTTTCCCTCTTCTGTTTCACCCAGCTCGATCTTCGAGTGAATCATACTCTCATAAAGGACCAGTTTCTGTGGGTAAGTTTGAGTGGAGAATGAATGTTTCATACTTGAGTTATATTATCAAATATGGGGTACTAATAATTAGAGCTTGACTTACGAAGATAGAAAATGATGCTTTTGGTTTTACATTCTGCATTTTTGATTGATAAAACACATTGTGAAGTAAATGGATTTCCAGGACTTGAACAACTTTGAGAGTGATCCTGAAGAATTTGCGAGAACCTTCTGCCAAGATTTGGGAGTTGAAGACCCTGAAGTTGGAGTAAGCAAAAAAAAAAACTTCTGGTAGCAAACGATGAAATTAGTTTTTCTAATCAGTGGTTGATTGTGTAAAAACAGCCTGGCAGCACACTGCTAGCCTAAAAAAAGGGCATATCTTGTGTTTTGTTACTTTCTTGTAATTTCTGCCATCCCAGCAATGGTATATGATGCCATGATTGTACTGACACCATTGCTTTTTAGTAGACTAGAATGCATATTACTGATATTTTCTTGCTGGGTGATGATAAACCTTACCAATGGTGTACTGACACCATTGCTTTTTAGTAGACTAGCATGCATATTACGGATATTTTCTTGCTGGGTGACGATACACCTTACCAATGGTGATCTTGAAGTCGGTTTCTCTTAGAATACTAGGATATAGTATGACTTTATTAAGCAGGATACACCTTAGTTTCCAATGGTTGGTTTCTCAATTCTCATTTTAACTTAAAGTTCTTTGTCAATTCTCATTTTAAATTAAAGTTGTCTATCTTGGTCACCAATTCACAACTTAAAACTCACGCCCCTGAGTTATCTACTGTCAGCTGTTTTCCACCTGAGTTATGCTTCTAAGGATTCTCCTTGCACATATATTGATATTGTTATTATTCTAATTTCTACATCTCTGCTTGAGGAATCTAATTTATAAGGCTTGTATGCTTATTTTCCCTGTTTAAAAGGATGACGTTTTTCTAAAAGAGATTGAATAGCCAGTGGTAATCTTTTGCAAACTTTGGCTGACTAATTAATGTTTCACCTTAACCTCAGTTTTTCAGCGAATGGGAATATTTTAAAGGAGACATTAAAAATATATCTAGACTCAAACTGGATTCTGGAGGGTCATCTGAAATTGAAAAGAGAGAGAATGTAATACCCCCCCCCCCTCTTTATGTATCTCTCTCTCCGATGTGTGCGTATGAGGGTGCAGTTGGTTTCCATTAGAGGTGGCATTCTTGCAGTACTGCCTGCCTTCTATTTGTGCTTCAACCATATAAATTGCCACATCTTTGTCTTGCAAACTATCTGTACGATGCATTTAGCATCCTTATTTTCTCACTCCACTCTTCTTCTGTATTCTTTATAAATGATGTCTGTTACTATTCCTTTCCTGCATTTCGAATTGGTGGAGATTTTTAGCAAACGAAAATTGACCAAACTTTGTCTTTGCAGCCTGCAATTGCCTTTGCAATTAGGGAACAACTTTACGAGGTTAAAATTTTACTGCTTGTCAAAAGAAACCTTGGTTCCTTTTATATTCTTGCTGGACATTTTAAATATATGTTATTTTAGATACTATTTCTACTGGTTCATGTTCTAGATTGGTGTTCAAAGTGTAGCTTCAGCAAAAGAAACCAGAATAAACAAGAAAGGTCGCAGAGGGACTGATCAATTTCCACTCAGGTTGGTTTTACTTTTTTTTGGATTCTCCTGCTGTAGTTCTTTCCGTTTCAAAAATTTGTATGGGTCGGTTCTCAAACAAGGGGTGAGACACAAACCCACACGTCCTAACTTCGAGTCTCACTGGTTGCACAAAATCTGGTTTAACCAATATGCCTGGTTTGTAGGTGATTTTGTGTATACTAGTTTTCCGTTGCAACCGTGAGTCCAAAGGTCGTGTGGTTGGGACGATACCAAAAAAGAATATTCTTGTGAAGAAATATTAAACCAATTTTTATTAATGATAAAATATCCTCTCTCTCTCTCTTGCAGTAAGGCAAACGGAACTGCGTTGGACTTGATGAAGTTATTTGGCAACAGATCAACTGTTATTCGGTAGGACTGTTCATTGTCTATCATTTTATCATTAAAAAAGAATACATTCAGATTGTTGCTGTGTTTCAAAACAATTCCCAACATTTCTGATATTGACCTCTGGGGATCGGTAATAATGTATGAACAACTAAGGAGGTCACTGGTAATTAATCAACCATGGAAGAGGTTAAGTACCAGCACAAAATCTAAGGAAGTAGTTAAAATTTTCTTTTCAAATTTTGTGATAGTATTATAATTTCATTCCACGTGATTCATGTTTAACCCCTTGTTATTTGATTTGAGAAATTTAGATAGAAATGGAAATTTAAAAGTGACCCCCCCCCAACCCCACCCACACACACACACACTAGAGCTGATAATCTATTTGTTGTGCTTCAGGAAACGAAGGGAGTGGGATGTATATGAGCCCATTGTGGATCTTCTGTCGAATGAGGAGGTGGATGCACTTGAAGCAAGAGAAGAAAAGAGCGGTCGATGAAGTGGCATGGTGGTTAAGATATGCCTGCCTAGAGACATTTTGGAGGAGTAAAACTGTCGTTTATTTTCATTCTTTATGGGAAAAATCATAAGATACAATTCTGTTGTTGTCTTAATGGTCATCTTTGTCTCTAGAAAAGCCAGGAATGATGTCACAATATGCATGGGTTGCCTGTTGATCTCATATTGTGGTGACTACTTGTCTATAGGAATAATGCCTATGCATTTATGTTATAATTCTTTTGCTTGTCTGTTATATTATATTCCCCATATATTTTTCTTTATTAAATAATATGAAACTAAAAGTTTAGATACCGTGGCATTTGAAAATTTGGCAAAAAAAAAAAAAAAAAAAGTTTGTAGACAAACCATGATGGTCTGTTTGGTTTGATGGAAAAGTGGGTGGATAAAAAAATGGAAAAGTGGGTGAAAAATGTATCATTTCTGCCCACCATTTTTATCACCTGTTTGTTTGGAGGAAATATAGGGAAGATGGAAAATGGAGGAAGGAAAGTGGGAGGGAAGGCTCCACTTTCCATTGTTTGGTTTGGAGGAAAAATGGGAGGAAATAGAAAATGAAAGGAAATTGACTATTTACCCTTTCTTTTTCGGACAAAACACATTCGCTTCCCACACACAGAAGACTTCGCGGGAACAGTCGAACAGGGTAAGAGCTCTCTCTCTCTCTCTCTCTCTCTCACACACACACAGATGAAGATCGATACTCATGGTCTGGCCTTATGTCCTATCCAAATAGAAACCATCTTCAAGAGTTAATATTATTTATTTGCTGGAAAAGTAGTTGGACCGATTGCTCTAGTTCTCCGGTAGTCAGATGTCTTCGATTGGCGAGGATCGTGCCAACTGAGAGGTTTATGGTTCATTCAAAAATTTTGTTAGACTATTGAGTTTGTTTTTCAAATGCAGTAGGAAAACGTAAACGAAGAGGCCATTGTTCTTATGGTACTGGTTTTCCTATTCTTGTTTATCGTTGAGTAAATCTAAATGCGTTCCATGGATGTAATGTATATGGGTTCCATGAACCAAGGTTAGGCTTCTTATCTCTCTCTCTCTCTCTCTCTCTCTCTCTCTCTCTCACACATGAAGGCCGAGGTTATCAAAAAAAAAGCCACATGATATAGGATCCAAGCTGTCTTTAAAAATTTTATTAATTCTTATTCAATAAAATTTTTCTCTTTCTTTAATAAAAAAAAATTAATATAGTATCAAAGCTTGGACTCTGGTTTGAGAGGATGTATACTGCACAGGTGATTTATGTGTTTTGCAATTCAACCCTTAGACCAAACCTTATGTGATAATTACTATAGAAAAATTTACCGCTTAGAGATGTGAGGATATAATGGTAAATTTGGTATATAGATTTTTTCTTTTCATCCAATATCAAACAAAGAAAAATATATTCCTTCAATTTTTCATCCATCATACCAAATATAAATGAGAAAAAATATATTCTTTCTCTCTAAGAATGAAAAATCTTTCTCATCCATTTTTCATTCTTCCTATCAAACAAACCATTAATCATCCCAAAAATGAGCAAAAAGTGGACAGAAGAAGTGACTCTTGCACTAATTCTTTAAAATTATCATTTTATCCATTTAAAGTGTGTGACACCCACTTTTTTCTTGGTATTTTCTATGTACAAGTGGACCACATTTGTGAGGTCCACCAAAGTTACAATAAATATCTCTCATATTGAAGGGTAATTATTGATGATGCACAAAATAAATTTATACATAATTAACAATCGAGTGTATGATATCGATTAATTAATAAAGCAATTAATAAAATAAATAATAAAGGAGACGAAGATTAGATCAACACATATATGTATAGTGATTCAGTCAATATAACATACTTTACTTCAAAGGCAAAAAAGTGGTCAAAGACTTTTATTAATAAAATAAGGTGTGAGAAAGAGAGAAAGAGCCATAGTAAACTCTAAGAGAATTTGGGTAGCTATGAGAAAGATAGTTATTTAAGGGTGAATAGAGAGAGATATCCTTCTCCAGTGGAGAGGACTTACAATTTATAAACACACCGCTTTGATTGAGGCAGTCATTAATTTTTCGAAAAGGATAGCTATGATTAGGATTGATATAATTCAAGATAATCTTTATCTAAGAAAATGGTTATCCCAGTAATTTACTTTCCACGTGTGCTAATTTTCTTAGATTCCTTTGAACTTTGGACTGAGCCGAGGTCATAGACTGAGCTTGACCTGCTTTTCTAGCTGATTTGGGCTTATTCCATGGATTGGGCTCTACCTAGTCGGATCCAAGCTCATCAATTATTATAATTTTTTTATTCATTTATCTTTTCATACCACATTAAATAATAAAAAAATTTATTTCTCCTACTTTTTTTATCTTTCGTATCAAACAAAAGGAAAGAAAAATTTATCTCTCATAATTTTTATCCCTCCTTACCAAAAAGACTATGGGTGTGTTTGGCAAATCATGGATGGATTGGACTGGCTTGGGTTTAAATCTTAAACCAATCCAGTGAAATCCCAATAGGCCGGATATGTGGGGGGATAAAAGGAAATTGTGTTATCCAATCTCTGCTTTGGATAGTGCATTATGAAGGGGTTGGAATATGGACAAATTACAATTTTTTATTAAATATCTAATACCTTTAACATTGATTGACCATTTTACCCTTGAATCCTATCTCATTTTTGGCTTGACAATTGTTAGTTACCACTTTTGAAATAATTATTTTTTTAGTTTTTGATCATTGTTGATTACCAATTTAATAACGTGAAAAATATAAGAATGTTTATATATTCATCAAATACATGTTATTACACGTTGATTTTATAATATAGTTTTATAAGTCGCTCACAAATTTATTTCATTCATCAAAGATTTTAAAAAATTTAGGACAAATAATACAAGAATATACGAAAAACTACGGCACAATCGAAATTAACATGAACTATAGCAGAAATTAACCGTTTTTTTTGTAAAAATTAAAAGACGATAAAATTAATTCCAAATACAATGAAAAATACAAGAAGCCATTATGGGAAAAACTATATACAAACCTCATTCAAAACATGTTAAAAAGAACAAAGCATGTGTTAATAACAAAAATTATATACAACATTCGCATACAGTCAAGTAGTGTGATCCTTTATCATAAAATATTGAGCACTTTTTTAGTCTACCAAGTGACAGGATTTTTTTTTTAAATGTTTTCATCAATTGTCACAAGTCTCTCCATATATCTCCCGATCTCCACATATCCTGTATGACCATGACATGCACAAAAATAAAAAAAAATACAAAAATACAATAAGGAAGAAAAAAGATATAACACAATGACAAGCAAAGTCCGAGTGGATTCATGGGCAAGAGAGCAATAGCAAATAACAAACACATTACAAAATCACCTGCAACAATTGAACAGTATGAACTTAGTATGAACTTAATCTTGGGGCTTCTTCCATTCGAGGGGGTTAACCACCTCCCATGTGAAGTCAAGGTCTTCCCTTCTAAAATGACTATAGTAAAAAGAGTCATTCAACTAACCATTGTCTTAAACCAAAACATTACAAATATTTAAATCATCAAGGTTTATATTTCGGACAGTATTCATCCATATTACTAATTGTCTTTACCTATCCGTACAAAAACCACACATTCCCCTACACGTTTATTCCACCAAAATATCAAAATCCAACATACAATATTCAAGAATCAATGCGAAGAATTGGAAAGATATTGTTTAGAAAAATGTACTGTATAAAGAATGAACTGTACTGTTTGCTTTGAAACTGAAATGAATGAGGTCTAATTTGTCTTAATGANTACAAGAAGCCATTATGGGAAAAACTATATACAAACCTCATTCAAAACATGTTAAAAAGAACAAAGCATGTGTTAATAACAAAAATTATATACAACATTCGCATACAGTCAAGTAGTGTGATCCTTTATCATAAAATATTGAGCACTTTTTTAGTCTACCAAGTGACAGGATTTTTTTTTTAAATGTTTTCATCAATTGTCACAAGTCTCTCCATATATCTCCCGATCTCCACATATCCTGTATGACCATGACATGCACAAAAATAAAAAAAAATACAAAAATACAATAAGGAAGAAAAAAGATATAACACAATGACAAGCAAAGTCCGAGTGGATTCATGGGCAAGAGAGCAATAGCAAATAACAAACACATTACAAAATCACCTGCAACAATTGAACAGTATGAACTTAGTATGAACTTAATCTTGGGGCTTCTTCCATTCGAGGGGGTTAACCACCTCCCATGTGAAGTCAAGGTCTTCCCTTCTAAAATGACTATAGTAAAAAGAGTCATTCAACTAACCATTGTCTTAAACCAAAACATTACAAATATTTAAATCATCAAGGTTTATATTTCGGACAGTATTCATCCATATTACTAATTGTCTTTACCTATCCGTACAAAAACCACACATTCCCCTACACGTTTATTCCACCAAAATATCAAAATCCAACATACAATATTCAAGAATCAATGCGAAGAATTGGAAAGATATTGTTTAGAAAAATGTACTGTATAAAGAATGAACTGTACTGTTTGCTTTGAAACTGAAATGAATGAGGTCTAATTTGTCTTAATGAATGTTCATTGCAATCTGATCATTGCAAAATAAATGAGTTTTATAGGTCTGTTTGGTAACATTTATGATTTTTATTTTTCGTTTTTATTTTGATATTTGGAGAAAACAAGAAAAAAAAACTCGTTTGATAACTGATTTTATTTTTTTTTCTGCCATCGTGTTGTAAACAAGAGACGATTTTCAGAAACAAAAAAAAGACGTTTTTGAAAAAATAAAAAATGTTTAACGCGCGTTAAAGGGTTAATGAGGTCAAGCAATCGAACCTTGTTATCACAAAAACAGACACATTTATTGGCACCCATATAAATAAGGGAAATTTGGAGGTCAGTCCTCCTATATGGACTTGTTTAGATTTAAGTCCGTCAATAAAACTTATTTGTTATGAAGTCCGTTTTTTATCAATTTTACCATACTATCATTTCCCTTTAAAAGTGAAATAAAATTAAAAATTAAAAACTCCTAAATCTTAAGAGTTTAACTAACATTAAAAATTTTTCTCTTTCATATTTATTGCTATCCATATATAGGTTAAGAGTTTCATTAACATTAAAATTCTCTCTCTCTCTCTTATCTATCTATATCCACACACACACAGAGATAGATAGATAGATAGATATAAATA